AATGTATGGAAAGCAGGCCCTGGGCTGGATACGGATACGAGGTTGTGAGTAAGGCGAGAGACATACCTGTTGCTGGAAGCGTGCGACATTGGTCGCTGTATGCTCGTACTTCGGGAGAGCTGTTGTCGTCAACTTCGGCATTGTAGTATAGGCTAGATAGGATCTGCCACATGTAGTCTGGGCGCCGAGCGCCAGATAGGATATCAACTCTGGTTCTTCGTTGATGATGATGATGGGACTATTTCAGCATTGTCAATTATGAACTCTTGGTGTGTTCTTATTTGGTGAATCTTGTGATGCAATTCTGCTGTTGGTTCAAGGTCACGACTATCTGGACTCGTATGTATGATGCTGTTCTATCGCTGAAGTTCGCTATTGCTCATCTACCTTGCAATAACACCAGTGGGCCCTCGCCTGGCTTCTTAGACAACTCCCAGTGCATGGCAAGGGTGTAGCAACCTTACCGTAGGTCAGAATGGATGAGGGCGGCCCCACTGGTGAGTGATAGGGCTCCAGGATGAGCCGAGGAGCTCAAGCATCTTCAGACCTTTTACTCCATGTGAGGATGAAGGCGTTGCCGCAAATCATTGTGGTAGGAATCCGCGATGTCTGAGGACAGTTGATTACACTCTCACTCAAGCGACATGCAATGCAGTCTCTTTCCTCTTGGAGTGTTGTTGTTTTGCAAGGATTGTGTATTGGGTAAGCAAATGTGGTGACATCAATTGTAATTGTGACATACAGCCGACATGGCAGAACAGTCTTCTGTTTGTGCAGTATTGCTTCCATGGTATTAGGAGCATTAGTAGTTATGGTGCTTTATGGATCCATAGTACCATGCTTTCTGCCCTAAGGCCCATCCGTGCACATGGAGTCTAACCGACACATTGGGCAGAAGAGCTAAGTCTCGTAACCATTACGGCCAGGACATGGTGTTCGTAGGAGCATTATCCATCCATAATGACTTGATGCAATGCCCCCCAAAAAATTTAGCTCGAAGTTCTATTGGCCATTGATTGGCATTTAGATTATTAGCAGCTATCTGTGCCTAGCGGCAAACCTCCAAAGACAACCAACCAAGCGTTACCTGTGCCTAGCGGCAAACCTCCACCGGAGATCATTCAGAGGCTTGACTGCTGGTTAACACCCTAGGAAGAGCGTGAAACCACTTCTGTACATTGCAAGAGAAGAGTACCGTGAAATGATGAACCAGTCTGCTTACACTCAATGTGGAAGGGTACCACTATTGTTTTTCCTCACATCAGCACTGTGGATTTTAACCTCGGGGAAATGCCTCTTTGGGTTGGTCAAAATAGGTCGGAGTGAAGTGGTGTGTTTAACACCCTAGGAAGTGGATGAAACCACTTCTATACATTGCATCAGAGAAGAGACCGGTGAAATGACAAACCAGTCTGCTAAGATTGTCATGGATTGCAGCACAGCTTTGGTCTCTGTGAAGCTCCGATGTAGAACTCTACTCTGCCAACCTTCTTCGCACACAGCAAAGACTGATCCGGCTGAGCTGTTAATGGCTTCATCGGAGCTTTAAATGGCCTCTTCTTCTTTCTCTTGCAGAAAAAAATGACCATCATCTGAGAGTCGCTTATGTTGTTGTCACTGATTGCGTTCACAGTGATGGTTTGTGCTTGTCATGTATGTTGGCTGTTGGATGTTACCTTTGTGCTCAGAAAATCTACTTGACTCCATTATGCGCCATGTATCTTCTGTCGCGGCTCTTGCATGTCGTTGCCCATAAGCCACTTCTTGAGGCTATTGTCAGTTCAATGTGCAACTCACTGCCGGTGCCACATGCTTTGCCGGAAAATGGGAGGCCACCAAGCAAGGGAGGAGGAGGTGGCAATGGGACCCCTCTTGAAAATGGAATGATTGTCAATGCGTCTGTGGAGAAGGCTTTCAGTCACAGATCTCTTAGTCCTACGGAGACTGGAATGGCGGCGATCGCAACAGCGACACAGCTTGCACTTGACGACAATGGAAAGCTATATGAGTTTGTATCGGGGTCGCTCAAGGACACGGCACAGAAGGCAGAGGGTCGACAGAATGGAAAAAACAATGTGGATAGAGCGAGGGATCGGAGGGAACAAAGAGATCGCAGTGGATCTGTGCGGCAACCTAGGAATGCAAGGTTTGTTTAAAATTCGAAGTCCAAACGCATCTCGGAACTTTGGTGCCTGTTCTTGCCTCTCATTCTGGAAACTTGAGCTCCCTGCCATTGTCATGATGATCACATCTGGGACAATGAGTGAATCTAATTGTCCCAGGCTTTGGAGAGCATCAGTGAGTTTTTGTTTTTTGTTTTGGTGGAAAATGAAGTGCTCGAGAAATTACAACCAGGAGGTGGGCTTGGTGGGCGCTTTGGCTGATGTATCTGGCTCGAAATTACTCCTACCTTCTTCCCTCGAACATAATGTCTGGGCAGTTCAAGCGAAGTAGAAGCGATGACACCACTTGGGCTATTTATTCAGAAGGGCATGCTATTTGAAAATAATTGGCCGAACTTCAAGGGCCCGTTTTTCTTCAAGCTCAACTCCAGGGCCTCGGTGCTACGTTTGGGGGAAGGAGGTAGTCTGAAACAGGCCCTGTTTCAAGGGAGTAGGGTTGGGGGGGGGGAGGGGAGGGAGTCCTTGTCTGAGTACGACTCTCATTCGGTTGTAAACGTTACATGTGAGAGTTGAGCACGGTTTCGTTCTGGCAATTTGACAGTATCTCAGGGTTGCCTGTCTTGTGCAGGGAAGTTGTCATGGCACATCTCAGAGGCGATGATGATCGACTAGTGTTGGCTGCTCTGTGCGTCTTAGTTTCATTGTTGCGGAACAAGGGTAAGAAACTGCAACCACCATGTTGTGAATATCTTATTGTACCACCTCTCTTTTCTACTACTCTTGATACCCTTCCATATAGTTCAGTTGTTCTTTTCGAAAGTCATCTTACTGGCAATCGAGTTTGCAATCTGCCGACTACCATCTGAGTACCTCTTTTCGCAATTCTCTGTTGAGGCCAGCCCAGTGCCCCCATGCATTTCAATCATCTTCTCCCTCGGTTGGCCTGTATCTATCCTTAACTGAGAGTATCTGGTGTCTTGCCAAGCATCAACGGGACAAATTGCAGAAATCGTCAACTACTTTCTTTTAAGGATGGGAAAACTACCTTTCCCCCCCTGAATACAACGTACGCCATACAGTCATTATAGCTGTATTTGGGGTGTCTTTCAGTCTAAATACAGATATAATGACCGTACGTTGTATTCGGGGGAAGAAGGTAAGGCGCTGTCACGGTTTTAGTTTGAAAATGCATTTCAGTCACAATTTCGCGAATGTTGTGTCAAAATGAGGAAAATCGTGAAAGTATACAACCCAAATTTATGGTCGGATGGGGATGTGTTGTATTCGACGGATGCCTGAGCTGGACTTAAAACTGAAATCGTGACTGCGCCCTAGTTACCCCTTAAAAGATACTTCCCCACCCCTGTGGGGAGAATCGTGCCAAGCATCAAGGAGACGAACTGCAGAAATTGTTGACTGCATTCTTTTAAAGATACACTTGCCCACCTCTGTGGAGAGACATAACAAACCTGTTGCTGTTCTGAATACTAAGCCTCTCGGTCCACTTTGCTACTCCACGCTACTCTAATGCTGTGGGACCAGGGCAACTCGTACGATTTGTTTTGACCTTATCTGAATGCGTATGGTTGCACTTTGCCCTGCCAGCCAGTGCCAGGTACCTTACTGCTATGATGTCTATGGCATGTTATGATTCTGAGAAATCACGTTCTCTGGTGTGTCTTGCACAACGAGGAAAACTGGAGTGTCCTTTCCAGGAAGGTCTCTTTGTGAAGTAAAGTTAACGTGTGTGCTTTTTGAGGGGAACGTGGACTATCTAGGTATGCCTGGAGAGAGCGGGAATGTCAGGGTGGTGCAGGCAGTGGATCCAGGGTCGCAATTCTGAGCTGAGTGAGCGTAATTTTGGGTTAGCATGAAATGGCGACTGGTTGGGAACTTGGGGATGAAAGGGTATGAAAGGGTCAAAATTTCACTTCTCGACGGGTTTGAGCCACATGTAGTTGATTCAACTTGGTTGCAATTTCACTGGGCTACTTAACTCGGCTGCCACGTTACCCTTGAGCTGCTGAGGGTCACCCCCGTCTGTACAGCCTGCACAGGGCAGCCCTTAGCAAGGTGCCAGGAAGGCTCAGCACAAAACCAACATGAGATCTTCCCTTGGCGTTGTGTTTTTCTCACAAATGTTTTGTCACAAAGTTAACAAAACAAAAAATAAAATCGAAAAAAAGAAGGAAAAAAAGTCCGAGATCAGGAAGAGTAGGGAAAGAAGGGGCGGACTCTGGGCGGACTCTCTCTTTGTTCACCTTAAGGGCATATTGCCATTTGCAAGGAAAATGAGCGATAGCGAACTTCAGAAACCAAGCAGCATCATACACATGTGACCAGATAGTCGTGACCTCGAACCGAAAACAGAATTGCAGCAAGAGTTCCACCAAATGAGAACACAGCAAAAGCTCATAAGTGACAATGTTGGAATAGTCTCATCATCATCGACAAAGAACCAATGTCAACATCCTATCTGCCGCTCTGCACCCAGACTACCTATGGCAGATCCTATCTAGCCTAATCTACATTGTCGCTGGTTATGTCAACAGCTCCCCCGACGTATGAGCAGATCTCGGCCAATGCTGTTCGCTTCAAGCACCAGGTATGATCCCCCACTCACAGATGCCACGTGCACCCAAGGACCACCATGCGGCCCATCCAGCATACAGCAGTGTAGCTCGGCTATGGCTGCCTGCTCATCAAGCTCGCTCGTGAGCGCGTGAGCGCTGGCCAACGTATAGCGCAGTAGCGCTTGCGCAGCATGCAGCCAGTGCCCGAATGTGGAATGTGGGGGCAGGCACTTTCCTAAATGGAAGTGGCCTGCCTGCTGTGCGCGACCTGGCTGCACCGGGCGCCAGCCTAGAAGCTTCCGGTAGGCCCCTAGAGGTTGAGCCTCAGTCCAAACGAATCAGGCCCAGGGCGTGCGGTGGTTACTCATGCCCAACTGCCCGCAGCCTAAGTTCAGTCCATGTTGTGTATCTGGCCCAGGGACTGCCTCAGTTACATACGATTCGGGCAGCCTGGGCCTGGGGCTTCCAACCAACTGGCGCTGTGCAACTGCCTGAATTTCCCCAGTTGCATGGTAGTCCAAAATAGGCCTAGGTCGGCCCTGCCTTCACTTAGGGCGGCCGACCTTGCTGATAACGGGGCCCAGTAGGGCTTACCGAGGCCTTGTGCCTCGCATTCCCTCCTCCATCACTTCGCTAGTCCTCTGAGAAGTTGACTCAATGTGGCGCTTTCCCTTCTGCAGTAACTTCTCGTAGTGGGCTACAACCTGTGGAGCGGTCTGCATCAATTCCTCCCGGGTAAACCATCTGTCCTCCTTGGGGTCAGTGTGATGTCTGAACCGAACGCTTAGGAGGACGTCCTCTGCCTGTCGGTCTTGGAACTGGCATTTCTCTGTGGTCCACCATGTCATCGATGTCGACCTCTCCATCCAGGGTTGGGGGAAGCATTGAGCTCCGCGGGGGAAACTGATCAGTTTCCTTGGATGGTGCAAGCTTATTAGAGGCGTGAAAGACAGGGTAGGTGCGAAGGTGACCAGGGGTCTGAACTACATATGACGGCCCATCTGGTTCATCCCCGACACTATCTAGAACCTCCCAACGTCCAAAGTACTGTGGCATGAGCTTGCGGGATATCCCGTGCTCTTATCCCAGTTCTGAGGACTTGACCCAGACTCTGTCCCCTACCTGGAATGTAGATGGGCGGTGGTGCTTGTTCTCAGATTCTTGTCCCAGTTCTGAGG